GGGAAATGTCGTTCCCCTCCTCCACCCATGAGGACAGTTCAGCAGTGGAACAGGGCCCCAGGGTGGCTGTGTGGCCTCCATCACTAGAGACTTTCAAATGCTGACTGGATATAGCCACCTGGTCTGCCCTCATGGCTGATGCTACACTGAGCAGGGCTAGAGAACTTCTGAGATGCCTTCTAACCCGAGTCATCTTTCAATCCTGTGAAGTATGACTGTCCTTAATAAGATTGATTCATACTATTAAAAAGAGGTAGCCACCAGGATAAGTACATTCTCATGTCCATAATACTACAATCATTTGTGATTTTGGTTTTACTTGCTCACATTCTCCCTCAGGAAATAAAGTAACTACAAGTGTTTAAAATATACAAAGTAAAAGTGTTAGTATTTAAAAGATCATTACAAAATAATGTATTTCTCTAAAAAAAAGTAGGGAAATAGTGTAGAGCAGTCCTGTACTGTAAGAACCTTTTGTACAGGACTGATCATCTGTACACAAAGAGAAGAGGCAGAAGGTAATATCAGGGAGAGAACAATGGCATCAGGTCACAACAAACCTTTTCAGACCAGATCTTCCCTCCCTTAATTGTATACTTAGCATCCTCTCAAACACAGAAACTGCTTTTTGGGTTTTCACAATATCCAAATACAGGATGCCCAGCAACATACTTAAGGGTATGAGCATGCAGTCAAGCAGTGAGAGATAACAGACGACTGCTGACATGCACTAGGGTGGACAAGAAGGGGGGAAAAAAAAGGATTTCAGAGGTGATCAAAACCCCATGAAAGTAAGTTTCCTTCTTTAAGGCTAGTCTACAACAACAGCAAATAAACATTCCAGAGAAAGAAAAATAAAATAATTTAAATCATAAATGAAGTATTATTAACCTCCAAGACATTTAGTGAATTAAGTGTGTCCAGACTCATCAGGAATGCTCTCATTATTAGCTCTCTTCCTCTCGAAGAGAATTAAGCATCTTGATTTCACTCCTCCATAGAGATCCTATCTTCTATGACAAGACCATCAGCTTGAATTTTAGATTTTTCAAAGTATAAATTCAACCAGTTTCAGTGCTTTCAGTAACAGGTATCACCATGCCCAAGGACCCTCCAGCAAAACCTGTGGTTTTATAATTCTTCTCTTGGTGTGTTTTACTCAAAGACACACTTCCCTTCCATTTCCTGCAAGGAAGGCCTGTAAAGGTGGTGAAACCAACTGCAGCAAGCTCAGATGTCAGTCACACAAAAAAGTACTGTCAATTCACAAACTAAGAGAAGATTCGTATTGGCTTCTAGTTACATGTGTTTCCTCTCTCCACAAGCTTTCTCCTCCACAACTAGCATGAGGAGCACAAAATATGCTCTAAAGCAATTTTAGGTGCCTCTAGTACTATATCCATACACATCTATCTCCAGGGAATACAGAAGTCCACTCTCTAATAGGTAATGAACCGCAACTTATTTGTTACAACTGCTCTTCTCATACACTTTACCTGATCTCCTAATGCAGGGAAGGACAAACGTTCCAAGGCCAGCCTTGATACTACCTACCAGTGCATATGTCTTTCACCTATTTAAAAAAATATATACAACCTCAACAACAGGTAACTAGTCATATTAAGCCTACTTTTGAGAAGCAACCTACATCTGATTTAAGAGTCCTCCCAGAGTAGAAAAGACAAGAAGCCCCACATCTATATTTGACAAAATAAGAGTTAACTGTGGAAAACATTACATTATACTCTCAGCACAGATTCACATTTCACCAGCTTGTAGCTCCTTCCAAAGATCTTTTTCACTTTCACTACTTTATTACGCACCTTCTTTTATATCTTCAATCTTTATTTTCCCTTAGTCTCCTTCCACTAAAAAGCTATTAATCTGTATTCTAACACTATAGGAAGTAAGCTTTTTTCCTTCTTTTAACCTCAAATGCTTTCAAATTAATTGTAATTTGAGCTCTCAAAAAAAAGGACAAACATTAACTTGTTCACTTTTGCCAACCTGATTACAGACCAAAACCAACAAAAATCAGGGAAACTGTTTTCTTAGTATACCATGTTTTTGACAGTTTAGGTATAAAGTATTGATCACTTTCCCTTACACTAAGTCAAGGGAAAATCATGCTGTTATCCATTGCAACGTTTGGCCTTCTAAAGTCATGAGCAGGGCCTATTAGAAATTCAAGAAATAAGCATAATACTACACTGCTTTCCTGGCAGGCCCTCTCATTTAATTATGCAGGCCCTCTCCTTTAAATAGCACCTAGATACTTCATGGGTAGATGATAACCCCCAGTATTTCAACACTAATATCGGCATCCAGAGCATCCAACACAGTACCATATTGTTCTCTTTAACAAAAGTATCAACCCATTCTTCCTACAGAATTCAAATACCAAAGAAAATGCGTTACCGCACATCCTTTCAGCCAGCAACAGTTACCATATTCTAGTGGACTAAAAATTTAAGCTTCTAAGCACATTCAAATTGCCTAGCTTGACAGAGACTAAGAGGTAAGGCATTGCAAACAAAAAAAGAAACCAAAAACAAAGTTACCAGCGAACACCACCACCTCTTTTGTGCTGCTCTCTTCGCACTCGAGCGAATACAGCCTACTCGGACGATATCCTTAAGCGAGAAGATAAAAATACAGCTGGCGCAAGCCTAATCGCAACCTCACCGCTGCAGCACCTCCACGGACCCCGTTGGATGGTCTGCCTCCGGTCCCTTTGTTTTGGTCACTGAAGAACACCACTGACCCCTTACTTGCTTACCAGCGTCCGCCTCGGAGGGAGCTTCCTCCCCCTCCCCCAAAGGCCTCCAGGGCCCCCGCGCTGGAGCGGGGCCTCTCGCACCCCCTCCCCGACGGGTGGCGCGGC